TTTTTTTTTTTTTTTGTTATTTTTTTTTTCCTCCTCACATTTCCAGAGCTTTCTTTTTCTTTCCAGCTGCCTAATGTGTTATCATGTGAATGATTGCAGAATTCCAGAGAGGTGTCAGGGCAGGTAGATTTTTTCCCCCATATATTTGATTTTTGCCTGGCAGTTTTGGGTGCTTTGCAGGCAGATTTCACACGAGTGAAATGAGTATTCTGAATTTTGGTATTGTTTTACCCTAAGAGGTGCACACTCCTGTTCTCAGGCCAAGTCAGTGATGTTCAGAGGTTAATAATTGATTTTCACTCCGGTGACATTTCACTTCACTCCAGAGCTCCTGCCTGAGGGAGAACACCTCAGCATTTCTGCAGTGTTCCTTGATTATGTCCTATGGGACATCTTGGCATCATGTCTGTCTTTTTTTCCACAAAATAATCAGCTGCAACACTGGGGAAGATCAGCACAGGAAAAAGATGTTTTTTCCAACCTCTGAGGCAAACCTGGAATCCTTCAGAGGAGTCCTCTGAGTCTGGGATGTCTGTGACAGGTAATTTAAAATTGTGGAATTCAAAATGACAAACTCCCTTTATGAAAACACACTTAAAAGTCAATATATAAATGTACCATTTCTTCATTTCAAGACAGGAAAAATTACCTAAAAAGCAAAATACCTTGAACTAGTGTACGTCCAGGGCAAGCTTAAGCATGCTGTAGATTTTGTGAAGTTGTTCAATCATTTCTTGGAATCACCAGCAGCTGAAAGACCAGAAACTTCCAAGGATTTCTGTTAATAAGGCATTCCCAGCAATGATGGTCAAATGTACCATTCTGGAGAGGCATGGCACAACATTTAACAACTGGTTAAACCCCGAGATTTTGTTGGGTTTTAAAATTTATTTCACTTTGGTTGTTACACATTTTCCACTTCTGCTCAGCCTAGATATTCACAGAAATGTGTTGGGTTTTTTTTTTTAATTTTTTTTCCCCAGCTATGTATTATCTGCATAATAAACTAATTTAAATAAATAAATAAATATATATATATATCTATTTGACTCAGGGAACCCTTTTTCTCCTGACCACTACTCCCTTGATTTGCCAGAACCTCTAAAAGTTAACAAGAACATGAATGTAAGTTCTTATC